ACAACCTTTATGTATATGCCTTTTCTCTGTTTTTGTTTTTTTTGGACTAAAGCATACATATTCTTCTGTTGAAGACAATCATATTCGAGAGATTATTTTTGCTAACAAAGATTCGAACCCTAGTTTTTTATATTATGAAGGACTAATTACTTTTATTAGACCTGAATCTCATTGGTTTCAACTTTTCTCTTTTCTCTTTTGATGACAACCTTGCCATCTCTTCTTCATATATTAGAGTCACAGTGTTGATAAGTCATTAAAAACGTATTTTGAATTCAAAGCCAGAGTTGGAAGCTTGACCCCCCCCAAAAAAAAAAGCAGAGTTGGAAGCAATTTGCATTGGAAGGTTAATACTACCCCCCCCGATTTTCAATATAAAAATTAGTTAATTAATTTAAATATATAAAACATACTAGTCAAGTTAGTTATTTATAATAAATTTGTATTATTTTTAAAAAATATTTGCTAATCAAGTATACTCGTTAGAACTATCATTATTACAGGGGTTACCTTAGAAAATAATGGATAAATATAAGAGACAAAATAAATTGAGATCTTATATTTAGGATTAAAATAAAAATCAAATGGTTCTTTTATTAAAAACCGGAGTTAGCACCTCGCAACCAAGAAAATTAATCAGGGGAGTTTTTCAAACTAATGGTAATTACTAATTAAACAAATAATAAATGCCCCAAACTCTTGATGAAATGGACCGACCTAATATTCCACCTCCCAGCTAAACCCATGGAAGTCCTCCGTGGCGTTGATGGAGTCACATTGCTTGGCCAATCACAATACAACTACAACAATGCAAGATTTTTTTGCCATGACAATATATGTATATATATTTACCGGTGATATTGATTGATTGATGATTAAAAAAAGAGATTTTTTTATTTTTTAAATGTTTAAATACATCATTCTTTTTATAATAACAAGATAACTGAATTACGTGATTTAAAAATAGAATTAAAAATAATAAATATGTAAAAAATAAACATGGCAATGACAGTTCTTGTTCTTGCCCATCAAAGTGTTTGGTTTTAGAGGTGAAGGCAAATCCTATCACTGCAACAAATCGATGCAATTCCTCATCAAGCCATCTACTACTATATACTAGTTCTAGTCTTTAATATAAGAATTAGTTAATTAATTTAAATAGATTAAGAAAATTAGTTAAGTTAGTTATTTGTAATAAATAGATGTTGTCTTTTCTAAAATACCCTTACCAATCATATGTATTAGCAATGGTATTTTAATATGTGCAACTACTAAAAGGGGTATTTTAAAAAAATTAAAAATGAATAAGTACAAGAGACAAAATGAATTGGGATCTTATATTTATGATCAAATTACAAGTCAAACTAGCTCTTATATTAAAAACAAGAGGTAGTATTTATTTATAAAACATTTTAATGGATTTTAACGGAATGAAAAAAAGTCTTAAATCTCATTACTATTTTAAAAGTTAATAATTTGTTAACCTTTATATACCTTTCCAGTCTTAATTATAAGATCTCGTTTATAGACTACAAATGATGTCTTATAATTAGGACCGGAGGTAGTATTTATTAAGAAAATAACAATAAAAAATTAGAGGAAAAATTCTACATTTTTCTTTTAAAAAGATTCTACATTCATATATAAGAACTAATATCCCTAAAGTAAAAAATAATATCAATATTAACGACTTTGACCAACAAGACTAGAGAAGGAAAAAGAGAACCTGAACGATCCAGAAAAATAACCACTAGCATCCCTAAAATTAACTTTAAGTAATAAAGCTTTTTGAGAACCATCATTTCCTCAATATCATGTACTCAGCTCTTCGGTTTTTATATAAAACAAGAACTCCTGGACAAACATATAATTAACCACGTGGAAATAAAAAGGGCACAATTTTCTCTCTCCTTTTGTTCAAAGAATTACTTCAAGCTAAAACAAACAACAAAAGGGTTCACAAAAGATGCTCAGGTGGAACTTCATTAGAGCCAAACAAAAAGAATGAGAATTGTTAACTGGAGTGAGCACAGTCGGTTGGCTTAGCTTAGCCACATAAATTTGATTGAGATTGAGGGTTCACAATTTATATATAGTTTTTTTTTTTTGTGAATGCAAATTTTAGATGAGTTAGGTCAAGGAGCTTACCAAGATTAAGATATACTTTCAGGTTCAAAGAGTGTTTGCAGAAATATTTATAGATTATAGATCACTCACCAAAAGATCATCATATCAATAGCATCATTTGAATTCATTGACCTTGTAGGCTATGATTTGATTTTTTATTAACTGGGCCAACACTTGGCACATTTTATATATGGTTCAATATATGATAATGATCATTACGTGTCTCTCCTTTTTTTCCCCCCTGATTTTCTCCAACAATAATCTTGATTAATACTAAATAACAATTAAAGTTGGTAAATATTATAATTGAATCTAAAAGGATTCGATGACCTCTATAACTAAATGACGAGTCTCTAATTCAATAAATAAAACTCCAACCAGCATCTATTTTAAATAAACAAATTATAACCAACATTGAGTTGGTCAAGTGATGCAAAGCTCCATCAGATCTCTTCGGGTCTCAAATTTGAGTCTTAGAAGAGACACTTACATTGGGAGAGGCAACCATGAATGCCAAACCAGATTAGTCTGCAGTTCAGGTAAGTAAAAACTTATGTGTGAACTAGATTTTTTCAATTATAACTTGAATTAATCATCATGAGCCGCTTGTTTTTTTGCTATAATTATTTTTTGATAGAATAATTATCTTGTATTCATACTACTAACCTAATTGAATGTAGTTCCAACAGGATTTTTTCTACACATAAGGTTAGTATAGTATCCACTATATATATTTGAATATTTAATTACGAGAAATTAACACTTTTCCAGGTGAACCCAACCATGTACGATTCATTATTACAATTATTGTTACTTTAACTAATAAGACGCAGAGAAGTAAAGACAGGCCTTGCTTTTTTTTTTTTTGGGGTCTAAATTCCTGAAAAAGTATGCCTTTAACCTTGACAAATTACTCTTTTTGGGCGCCATATCATTTTCTTAGTGTCTATATTCGTAAATTTAATTTAGATTTAAATTTTTTCAAAAAAAAATTAAATATATTTTTCCAAATTCATATTTTTCTTTTAAAGTTTTTAAGTTTGAATATATATTTGAGATATATAATAAGGTCTCGTTTGTTGGGAAAAAGGGACTTGTTTCATATGAAAATGATAAAACAAAATGAAAGCTAGTTTACAGATGAAAATATCTTCGCAGAGTGTAAATTGTATTAATTTGGTCCTTAATATAAAATTTATTTTATATTAAAATTTGCACTATAAAATACGTCTTAGTCTTATTGGAGGGAACTTTTAAATGAAAAAATAATACCATCTCCACTTCTTTTATGTTGTAATGCGAAAGTAGTAAAATAAATTATTACTCACTTCTCATAAGAAAAGAGAAATTATTATTTCTCCTATTCTAAATATAGGACTAATTTTATAGTGTAAATTATACTATAAAAATAAATATTATATTTAGGACGGGACGTGTACTATCTAAATTTAATACAAGTATCGGGCATATGTAGCATTTGTACAGAAATAGAAGCTGCTGGTCTCCGAAAAAGAAAGAGAAAAACGTGTGGTCCAATAAACATGTGGACAAATAATAACTAACCACGCGACCACATCAAAGAAAACCACCCGGCTATATTTTCAAGGAAAATTATTTATTGAGCCGGACAAAAAAATGTAAATACAAATATATCTCCTGAATTTTGCATATTATTAAAGGTTGATCTGTACGATAAGATAAAATACCTTCTCATCCCTGCTAATAAGCACACAAATGCACTCAAAATTTGAATTTGAAATTACATTCTCCCCATTCAGCTTTCATCCACAAAACCACGACTCTACTTATAAATCCACAAGAATGACTTATAAATACTAACAGGATTGGATCTAATGAAAAGACGTGGTCTCTTATAGCGTGATGAGTTAAGGTTCGAATCTCCGTAGGGGTGCCCATATTTAGTGTCTGATAATATCTCAAATAAGATTGTTTGTAATAGAAGGATACTTGTGCCTAATTTTTTCTCTTTTTAAAAAAGAATGGCTTACAAAAAATAAGGCACAAATTCTTCCAAATTCCATTACATGAAACTCATCCCAAACACTAATAAATCACACAACTTTACTTATAAATCAACCATTATGACATGTGAATCATTCCCTCGAACATTAATTACAACTACTATGTCATTGTTTAAATACCAGCCATAGACATAAAAAAACTGAAATTCTTAACTGCCCCATGTCATGATCCCAAAAGAAGCGAGCCCAGGAAATGACCCAAAAGATGACGCAAATCTCATATGCAAGCACAACCAGAGGAGGAGACACAAAACGTGGTTACTATGGGATTTGGAGGGTCAGGCCAAGTATAATAAGGACAAAGTCTGTTATGGAGGGGGTGGAAATGATTATGGTCTCTCTCTTCCCCCAGAAGATTCTTTCCTTGCTAACTTTCTGCTTCCTTCTTTCTGCTCTTTTCTGCAACTCTGTAATTCACTGATATTTGCATATTCCATTGTATTGAGTGCATAGTTTCTATATATGTGACTGAACTTAATCCATTGAACCATATATTTTATCATTTTCGTCATTCATATTTGTATTTTTAGTCTTAACCATTACACCCCACTCACATGAAGACAACTACCTTATTAAAATAGAACAAGTTTAGACTCAGGCATTGACATAATTATAATCTTAACATATCACAAAGAAGCAATGCCATCGAAGAAACAGCATGATGAAATTTCTTGTAGCTGCCATGCATAGGACTAATTAAGAGGCATCATCTTCATGGCTTTGAAGCATCTCAACAACTTGGCTCATGCTGGGCCTCGCATCTTTGTCCTCCTCCACGCACTTCAGAGCCACATTTGCCAAAGTTTCCATCTTCTTCTTCTCAACGTCAAACTCCGATCCAATGGCTGCCTCAATTATTTGCTCCACCCAAGAGGATGACGACGACCCTTCCTCCTCCGACGTCATTTTCTTCCTCTTCTCTCTCACCCACATCACTAGCCTTTCATTATGTGCTTCTTCTGCTTTATCACTCTGACCTCCCATCATCGTCGGACTCCTTCCTGTTATCATCTCCAGCACAACAATCCCAAAGCTATACACATCCACCTTTGATGTTATTGGCAAATTGAAAACCCATTCAGGTGCCATGTATCCTCTCGTTCCTCTTACCACTGAGAAGTTTTGAGTGTGTTGGTCACTTCTATTTAGAAGCTTAGATAAGCCAAAATCTGCTACCTTGGGTTGGTAATTTGAACCCAAAAGAATATTCTGAGGCTTTATATCACAATGTAGAATCCACTCCAAGCATTCTTCGTGTAAGTATGCTAGAACCCTTGCTGTTCCGAGAGCAATGTTGTATCTTTTGGTCCAATCCAAAGTGTTTGATTTGAGATTGTCTGCTAAAGAACCTTTCTCCAAGTATTCGTAAACCAATAGCCTATGCTTTCCCTCAGCACAATACCCCCACATTTCAATCAAGTTCATGTGGTTTAGCTTACCAATAATGCTCACTTCAGCTAGGAATTCTGCTTCATCTCGTTTGGCTCCAATGTTGTCATCATGAAGATTCTTTATTGCAGCAGTTCGCTGATCTGGCAATACTCCTTTGTACACTATTCCACCAGCTCCTCTTCCAATTTCTTCCGTGAACCCTTTTGTTGCTTGTTTTAGCTCAGAGTAAGTATATTTTCTGAACCCAAAAGGTGAAAGAAAATTGTACCCTTGTTGATTTCCATCAGATTTTTGCTTGGTTCTTATCAAATAAAACCAAGTCATAGAAATGAAGAGGACTTCAACCAACCCAATTGCAACAGAAAACCAAAGAAAGAACTTCAAAAAACTGCTGACATGTCTCTTGGCATAGGCTCTATCCAGCTTCACTGAACAAATATGACCATTATCTTGAGCAAATTCTTCATCTGCAAAGAACGAAACATTGTTTCTTTTGGTTTTAGGAAGTCTCAAGTAGGTTGTTCCTCTAAAGTCTGGTGATCGACGACCATTGAGAAGAACTCTTTTCGCATAGCATTGAAATAAGCCGTCATGGTTAAATGAGTACTGAAATGCCCTGCACTCACAATCTTCTATGCATTCATTCTCACAATCACTATAACTTATGTTTTCCTTGTAAAAAAAGTCATACCCATAGAGCTCAACATCTTGCAATTTGAAGAAAGTGGTCTCCTTTTTATTGCATGAGAGTTTAAATGTGGGTTCACACCCATAAGACCAATCGCTATGGTTCTTCACTCTATATCCAGGAAGACACGAACACTTCCTTCCTTCTCTAGGATCATACACACACGTGCTGTCAGCACCACAAAGTCCATGCACAATGCAAGCATCAGATATGGCTTGCCATGTCACCTCCCATAGATTATTCTGTAGGCTGTACACTCGAATGTTTCCATCAGGATCTAATTTCAATCTTCTTTGTATCAAAACACCATAATCAGAAGTTGTGAAGTTGTACTTGTCTGTTGAACTGAAACCTCCAAGTGAATCTAACACTGCAATTCTACTACTATCGTAGATGTTTCTGTCAGCTTCCCAGCTCTTAAGCCACGGTGATGGCCAATATTTGCTGGAGACATCGGGACCATCATATAGAAGGGTAAGAACATTTTCGTCATCGAAGACAAGCTTGTAGAATCCAGAGGAATAGTTGGTTTCGCTTCTAGCAGAGACGAGCTTTGTATATCTTGTGAGTTGCTGCCCAGGAAGTAGAGTGTCGGTTGGGAAATCAAAGCTCTGCCATAGAATCTTGCTTCCTCGTAATTGGTGCTCATAAAGTACTAGATTTCCATTGTTGTTGAGGATCAATTGGGTCGGCAGAGACGAGGTGGTGGCGGTCGACCACACCTCGTATTGGCCAGCATCAGAGAGGACAAGGTTTCCGGTGCGGTGGATGGAGAGTGAGGAGCGCTTACCGTTGATGGATCGGTCACGGTTTGCTGTCCAAACAACGGCGAGGGTTTGGGCGAACCAAATGGAGAATACATAGGCGTTTTCACCAACGAGGTAGAAGCCGGCAGAGAAGACGCCGTTTTGTGACAGAATAACATCTTCTGGTTTCTCCACTGAAAGAGAGAAGCGACTATTATGTGATGACGATGAAGATTGGAAAAAAGAGATAAGAGGAGAGGAAAGTGAAGCATTAATGAAACCGCCATATTCTATTTCTTGAGGTTATTAGTAGCTAGGTAGTTTAAGTGGAATGATACTTGGATCAAATTTGTAAGTTGTTCAGTCTTTGGATGATAGATTACATTTCGTTCATTTCCTCTTCCGCAGACCAAGGATTAATCCTTGGACTTTTCGATTTCTCAGCTTCTGAATATGACATGCCTGGTGTCGCTTTCTTTAATAAGGTTGCCAGCGGTGAACGTATTTGTTCCTTTTCGTTAAATGAGGGCTAAACTTCCAGCGCCAATACCTGTAATTCACGTTTTCTATATGACTAAGTGTGTGGTTGGGAGAGCAATTTATGGACCAGAAGTAGCTCATTTTGCAACAGAAGCCCGATTTAAAAAGTAAGCCGGTTTGAGAGAGCTTGTATAAGATCGCACTTGGGGGCCAAAATAGGGCCAAACGCGCGATTTACCTTAAGCCGGGGGAGGTAACATTTTCAGGTGGTAATCGGGCTCAGGACCAACGGGGATTAGGTTTAGCAGAAAGGGTTAGACCCTTACAATATAACGAGCAAAGGTTCGAATTCTTGTTGGAGAGGTATCCACATTTAGAGCCTGATAGTGTCTCGAATAGGATTGCCTCTAATAGGAGGATATATGTACTTTAGTAAAAAAAATTGTGTTTAAGACGATTGAAAATTGTTAGAATAATAATTTTCTCTCACTCCTCTCATTATTCTCTCATTATTTAATGAAACTCATGCCCATTTTGGTAAATTTATAACCTAAACTTAATTTTATTCAATCATAATTCAAATAACTTTTTACCCAATCTATCTTTTACAAACCAACTTTTATAAAATTTAGTCCAAACACAATTCACATTACCTAATTTAACTTTTACCCAATCTCAATTTTTTAAAAGTCAGATTGCAAATAAATTATTTTTTCTACTGCTAATCCAAACAGATCCTAAAATGTTAAAATTTGGCTTGCACACTTCAAATGACTGTAGTACAGAGCAAATTAAATAAAAAATATAGTTAAATCTGAATCATTCACTTTGTGGTTTGAGGGTAAAAATGAGATTATGGAGAGAAAAAGAGTAGTATAGTTTAGGAAAGTTAATATATACATCTATTAAAAACTCAAATTAACTATTTTCATTAATATCCATAAATAAAATATCCTATTCTCATATGGAAAACCAGAGGCAGAACTAATAAATAAGCCAGAATCTGGCTTCTTGGTTGTTTTGCAGTACTTGGTATGGCCTTTCAATTTTGAAGGCTTTCATTTGCCCTCCCTCACATGTCGGAACAGCAACAGCAACTAAAGGGATTTGATTTGATTGACGACGACTTGACCAGCTTCACACTTATCTTCAATTCCCCTCCCACGGGGTTTCTCCTCTACTCTCGATGCCTAGTTCAAGAGAGAGCCCCACTTTTGATGGTGATACGTGGGTTGGAACTTGGAAATATATGAATATATCATTAACATTACTGTTGATGTTTAAACGGAATTGCACAACGATGACTTGAAAAGAAAACAGATTATTAATAGGACCAATGTATTCTTAGACTTTCCTAGTTTGGGTAATCAAACACGCAAAGAGGACACCTAATTCTACCATTTTTTCCCTACTTCCCATATGTTTTTTCTTGCTTGTTATCATTGGATTCTACATAAAAATGAGTAAAATTTCGATATCCCATGAGTCAAAAAAGGTGTTATTTTCAACTTTTTTTTAATGATTTTTCAGAAAATTTGTACCTAAAATAAAAACAAAACAGCGTCAATTTTAGAGTGTATTTTCTTTGAAAAATCATGAAAAATTTGAAAACAACACCATTTTTTGCTCATGAGATATCAAAATCCCACTCATTTTATGTAGATTCTACTTGTAAAAAGAAACAAGAAAAAATGTTTAGGAAGTAGGGGGAAATTGAGGCGCAGCAGAGAAGGAGACCCAAATCCTATGACTCCCCAACTCGCCATAGTTGAACTGTACACATGTGAATAGAGCTTGAACCGCATGTGTTGTGAGCGATGCATCTAATTCACGCTAATGGCTCTGAAGAATCTCATAACAACTTGGCTCATTGCTGGGCCTCGCATCTTTGTCTTCAACATTTCAATCAAGTTCATGGCTATGCTCACATCAACTAATAAGGATTCTCCTTAATTCTCCTTGTTTGCCTCCGATGATGTTATTATTCAGCTTCTTTATTGCTTCCATTCATTGATTTGGGAATATATTACCCTGGATTTGGGGTTCCTGCTGCCCTCTAAGCCCTCGTGGTGATGGTGTTATTTGTAATAAATAAATATTGTCTTCTCTAAAATACCCTTATTAATAATGTATATTAGCTATTATTACTGTTTGATGAAACTTTTAATATGTGTAATTATTACAAAAACAATATTAAAAAGATAGATAAATATAAGAGACAAAGTAGACTGGGATCTTATATTTACGATTAAATTGAATGTCAAATTAGCTCTGATATTAATGACCAAATGTATTATTATATTTTTCTTGGGTGAAAATTAAAATGATGTCAAAATATAGAGAGTATGTTACAAGACAGGGAGGGAAAAAAAAAACAATAAAACAAAAGAATGAAAACGCTACAATACAAAAAGCCATTATGCGCTAAAGCCATGGTAGTCCTTGAAAAGGAATTCAGCATTATATTGGTATCTTCCCAGTAGATATGATTCGACCTCAAATTGGAGTTCTCTTTCTGAGAGAATTTCATGTTGATACATATAATAAATCTACAAGTCGTCACTCCAAAACTTCTTCCAATATTTATGCCTGTTCCACCAATTGCTCCTCTAGTGTTTGGGCAATGAATAGTAAAGTTATTTAACAATGCTAAACTTTGAAGGGTAGTTATGGGAAGGGAATTTTAGGGCTGACATGTACCCATTACCCACCCAACTTTTTTTGGACTGAAGACATGTACACTACACAACTAAAATATAGTATTTACTCATGTAGAAGAAAAAAAGCGATAAATATTAATGAAGGGGGATGAACTAACAATATTGATTTAAAAGTAAAACGGCATATTGTACCGAAAGGAAAAAAGGTAAAACGACATATGTTGTTACTAAAAAAAAAAAAAAAAGGTAAAGGTAAAACGACATAACAAATATTCTCCCGGTTCAACTTTCATTCACAAGACCACGACTCCACTTGTAAATCAACAAGGATGACTTATAAATAATAAGGAACAAATTCTCCCAAATCCCATTACATGAAACTCATCCAAAACACTAATAAATCACACTACTTTACTTATATCATCATTTAAATAATCAACCATAGACATATCAATTGAAATTCTTAACTGCCCCACACATATAAAGACAACTACCTTATTAAAATAGAACAAGTTTAGACTCATGCATTGACATAATTATAATCTTAGCATATCACAAAGAAGCAATACCATCGAAGAGACAGCATGATGAAATTTCTTTTAGCTGCCATGCAAAGGACTAATTAAGAAGCATCGTCTTCATGGCTTTGAAGCATCTCAACAACTTGGCTCATGCTGGGCCTCGTATCCCTGTCTTCTTCCACACACTCAATAGTCACTTTAGCCAAAGTCTCCATCTTTCGCTTCTCAACCCCATACTCTGATATAATGGTTGTGTCAATTATCTGCTCCACCCAACTCCACGACGACGGCCCCTCCTCTGATGTTGTTTTCTTTCTTTTATCTCTCACCCATGTCACAAGGCTCCTGCTTTGTGTCTCTTCGCCTTCGTCGTTCTGAATTCCCATCATCGTTGGACTCCTTCCTGTTATCATCTCCAACATAACAATCCCATAGCTATACACATCCACTTTTGAGGTTATTTTTTGGTTGAAAAGCCATTCAGGCGCCATATATCCCCTTGTTCCTCTTATCATAGAGAAGCTTTGAGAGTTTTGGTCATGCCGATTTTGAAGCTTAGATAAGCCGAAATCTGCTACCTTGGGTTGGTAATTTGAATCCAAAAGGATATTATGGGGCTTTATATCACAATGAAGAATCCACTCCAAGCATTCTTCATGTAAGTAAGCGAGACACCTTGCTGTTCCAAGAGCAATGTTGTATCTTTTGGTCCAATCCAGAGTGTTTGATTTGAGATTTTCTGCTAAAGAACCTTTCTCCAAGTATTCATACACCAACAGCCTGTGCTTTCCCTCGGCACAATACCCCCACATTTCAATCAAGTTCATGTGGTTAAGCCTACCGATTATTCTCACTTCAGCTAGGAATTCTCTTTCTTCTTGTTTGGCTCCAACGATGTTATTGTTCAGCTTCTTAATTGCTGCAATTCTTTGATCAACCAGTGCTCCTTTGTACACTATTCCGCCTGAGCCTCTTCCAATTTCTTCTGTGAACCCTTTTGTTGCTTGTTTCAGCTCAGAGTAAGTAAATCTTTTGAACCCAAAAGGGGAGAGAAAATTGTAGCCTTGTTGATTTCCGCTAGACCTGTGTTTTGTTCTAATCAAAGAACACCAAATTATAAAAATTAAGAGCACTTCAGCTACCCCAATTGCTACCGAAAACCAAAGGAAGAACTTCACAAAACTGCTGACGTGTCTCTTGCTATAAACTCTTTCAAGTTTCACTAAGCAAACATGACCATTTTCCTGAGCCGATTCTTCTTCTACAGTATGGAACGAACCATCGTTGCTTAGGTTTTTTGGGACTCTTAAGTAGGTTGCTCCTCTGAAACTTGGTGAGTGATGACCATTGAGCATAACTCCTTTTGTATAGCAGCCAAACAGCCCGTCCTTACTCTCAATTGAGTACTGAAATGACTTGCACTCATAGTCTTTTAAGCATTCACGCTCACATTCACCGTAAGTGATGTTCTTTTTATGAAAAAACTCATACCCATACAGCTCAACATAGGGTAATTTGATGAAGGTCGACTCATTTCTACCGCGTGGCAGTTGAAACATGGGTTCACAACCATAAGACCAATCACTATGATTCTTCACTCTATATCCAGGAAGACATGAGCACTTCCTTCCTTCCCTGGGATCGTACTTGCATGTGCTGTCAGCACCACAAAGTCCATGCACAATACAAGCATCAGATATGGCTTGCCATGTCACTTCCCATTGATTATTATGCAGGCTGTACACTCGAATGTTTCCATCAGGATCTAATTTCAATCTTCTTTGTATCAAAACACCATAATCAGAAGTTGTGAAGTTATACATGTCTGTTGAACTGAAACGTCCAAGTGGATCTAACACTGCGATTCTGCTACTGTCATAGGTGCTTCTTTCAGCTTCCCAGCTCACAAGCCATGGCGGGGGCCAATATTTGCTGGAGACGTCGCGGCCATCATATAGAAGGGTAAGGACATTTTCATCATCGAAGATAAGCTTGTAAAATCCAGAGGAATTGTTGGTTTCGCTTCTAGCAGAGACAAGCTTTGTATATCTTGTGAGTTGTTGTCCAGGAAGTAGAGTGTCTGTTGGAGAATCAAAGCTCTGCCATAGAATCTTGCTTCCTCGTGATTGGTGCTCGCAAAGTACTAGATTTCCACTGTTGTTGAGGATTAATTGGGTCGACAAAGACGAGGTGGTGTCGGTCGACCACACCTTGTACTGGCCAGCATCAGAGAGGACAAGGTTTCCGGTGCGGTCGATGGAGAGTGAGGAGCGCTTACCGTTGATGGGTCGGTCACGGTTTGCTGTCCAAACGACGGCATGGGTTTGGGTGAACCAAATGGAGAATACATAC